TGGTGCCTATGTTTAAAGACCATTGTCAATCAGTGAACCAAGAGTCAAATGATATGCCTCTAGAATCAAAATCTGCAAGGAAAGAACATGAAGTAGAGAAATAGAAACTAAAACAAAAACTTCTGAAGCTTCAAAAAGAAAAGGAATAATGGCAAAACAGGGCAAAAAAATTAAAAGTTCAAGTCTACAAGATTTCTAAAGAACACATTAAGGTTTAAAAAATTGTCAAAAAATGAGATGATGCCCTTAAAAAATTGAAAGAACTGCAACAAAAGCATAAGAAGCTACACATATAGGTGCAGGCCAAAGAAATAAATAACATAGATTTAGCTCGTGAGAATAAAGAGTTGAAAAGAAAATGCACACTAATAAAAGATGATTATGTTGAAGTTCAGTACGAAAATGAAATGCTTTCATATTACATTTTGACCCTAAAGTTGAAGTTGGATGAACAAAGTGACCATGTCAGAAACCTCATAAAAAAGTATAAAAAATTATCCTATCAGATATGGTGTGGCAAAAGAGAAGGGTTGAGAAGATAAAGATACATAAAGTATCTCATAGCTTAGATAGGCAAAGTAGTAATGAACGTAGGCGAAATGGTAGAAGAGGCTGAGGCATTGAAAGCTTCAGTCACACCAGTAGAAAAATATTGGCAAAGATTGCTAAACTTTATTAAGAGGCTAAAGACCAATATGAGCAAGTTAGGCATTTTTATAGAGGGATAGCATTAGATTTGATGTAAAACAAACTCCTATGGAATAAATAAAAGTTTTCTTTTATTGAAATTTTTAAAGGGGTAAATATTTCCTTTTCTTTTCTTTTTTCCATGCATTGCATCACATTCATTCATTATTATAGCATCATCCCTAATTTCCAATTATGGCACCAAGGTGCAATAATAGCTACACATTCATACAATACTCGGGCTAAAACTAAAAAGATGGAGTAGGACAATGCAAACCATTTTGAAAGGATAGAAAAGGCCCAGGAAGTCCTTGAAGGAAAATTGAGTAAGATTTTGGAAGCTTTGGAAAAGGCAAACAAAGAAAAAGCAATAGAGAAAATACCTCACTTGAAGCTACTAAATTAACATATCTTTCAGGTTTTGGTCCATATCAGACTCAAATTGCCCTAATTTTTCAACCACAACAGGTAACCATTCTAAATTACAACTATCCGAGAATGACTTATGCATGCAGTCATAAGAAAGTCTAGAGTTATAATAATCTTGTTTTCATTGAAAAGGCAATTGAACCCATTCAACTTCCTACTCTAGATGAGAAAAAAAAGCTACAAGCAGCTATATCCTTGAAAAACTCTAAGACCAATCAAGCCATGAACAGGATCAAAAAAAGATTACAGGTTATAAAAGAAATTGATTTTTATGGATCCATGGATATAATAGGGCTTTGTTTAGTACCAGACGTAGTGGTGCCACCCAAATTTAAAGTACCAAAATTTGAGAAGTATGACAATACTAAGTGCCCTATCACACATATCATAATGTGCTGTCATAAGATAACAATGCATGTTAGCAACGAGAAGCTATTCATGTATGCATGTCAAGATGACTTAACTGGGTCTATAGCAAAGTGATATATTCAGCTAGATAGGACTCACATAAAGTCATGAAAAATTTGACCCGATCATTTATCAATCAGTACCACCACATCATTGATATGGCCCATGATCATCTTTTGTTACAAGAAATGAAAAAAAAAAGTATTTAAATCCTTCGAGTAATATGCCTAAAGATGGCAGGATGTAGCTGCTTAGGTACAACCTCTCTTAATAAGAAAAAAAACTATAGTGCTATTCATAGCAATCTAAAGTCATCATATTATGAAAGAATGATAGGAAATGCAACTAAAAACTTTGCTGACATAGTGATTTCATGAAAGATCATTGAAAATGCCATAAAAATGACAAACTGAAAGGAAGAGAGTCTTTTAAAAGAGTGCCTAAGAAAAAAAAAAGTGAGACTCAAGCTGTGATTCTTAAAAGACAATAATTCAGAAGCTACTCTTAACCAACCTATCCTATATATCACCACACTGTGAACCATACTTTCACTTCTCTTTACCAAACAACTACATGACCTTCTTATCCATCCTCATCACGATCACCTGCTCATCTAACTGGCATAACAAGTAGTGCTCAATAACCACATACAAGGGAAGGAACCACATTTGATCCTATACCCATAAACTACACTGAGCTATATCAAGAGCTTTATAAAAACCACATCATTGCCCTCATTCCTACAAAACAACCTGAACCTCCCTATCCCAAATGATATAATGCCACCTCTATTGTGATTACCATTATGGGGTAATAGGTCATTTTACTGAGAATTACATTTTTTTGAAATAAAAAGTGCAACATCTGATTAATGAAAGGCTTATAAGTTTTAACACTAGTAAGAATTCAGCACCCAATGTTAATGAGAATCCGCTACCTAATCACATGGTCAATGCTTTGAATGAAGATGAAAGGTATGTAAAAAAAAAAAGTGAAGTAAATCAGCATGCCATTTGGGTAGCTATATGATGCCTTATATGAGGTTGGTTTGATATAACCAATAGCCCAATACACTTACCGTCGGAGATGTGTCCTAAACCAAAGATGCAAATATCATAGTGGAGCTCTGAGACATTTTATTGAGAGATGCTAATAATTTCATCAAGAAATATAGAAGTTAATGGACTCTTATTAGATAGAGTTGTATGAAGAGTCAAAGACCTTAGAAAATATCGAAGTGGCCATGATAGACAGATGGGTGCCAAAGCCTATCACCATCCACTGTAACAAAAGTCAAAATCAGTTGAGAATAAGTTTATTCCCAAACCAGTAGCTTTCAAAGTCCCATGCCCATTCCCTTACAAAGATGAGAATATGGTACCATGGATATATAATTGTGAGGTAACAACCTAGGGGCAAGAAAAAGTTATGCCAAAATCTGAATCTGCCAACATAATAGGTGTAAGTGACATAACCAAAAATGAAAGGTATTATACTCCAAAGACCTTGGAGAAAATAAAAAGAAATACAGAGAAACAGACTGAACCAAAAAATATTTTAGAGAAATATGCCCCAAAGTCTGTGTCAAAAAATGAGGCTTGTAAGTTCTTAAAACTGATAAAGCATAGTGAATGTTCTATGGTGGAGCAATTTAATAAGATGTCAGTCGAAATATCTTTGTTATCATTTTTTTTGAACTCAGAACCACATCGTAATGTCTTACTAATGGTATTGAATCAAGCTTATGTGGCTCACAACGTGTTTGTAGAATATGTAAATCACTTGATAGGGAACTTAATGGTGCCGTATCATATCTCTTTCAATGATGATAAAATTTCACCTGAAGATAAAAAGAGCACTAAGGCTTTGCACATCACTGTTAACTGCAAAAGCCATATAATAGCTAAGGTCCTTATAGACAATGGGTCGGCTATCAATGTCATGCCCATGTTTACTTTGACAAGGTTGCCCTTTGATAAGTCTTATATCCAAAGTAGTCATATGATGGTTCACACATTCGATGAGACCAGACAAAAAGTCTTACGAGATATTAAGTTGCCCATATAGATTGGACCATGTGTTTTTAACATAAAGTTCCAAGTCACGAATATCTCCCCATCGTATAGCTGCTTATTGATAAAACCATGAATCCACAAGATGGGTGCCATCCCTTCCTCATTGTATCAAAAAATTAAATTTAATGTGAAAGGATAATTGGTGATTGTGGTTGGGAAAAAAGATCCATTGATGACCCAACCTATAAATGCCCTATATGTAAAAGCTGTAGAAGAATCATTAGAATGCTTTATCGATCTTTTGAACCTATCATTACAATAAGGGAAAGGCTCAAATTCAGTAAAATTATGATTAACTAGATGATAAATAAGGGTTGGAGTATTGGATTTAGTTTGGGCAAGAGTCTACAAGGGACAAGAGAGTTTCCTAAAATTGAAGACTATGATGATAGATTGGTTTAAGATTACAAGATAAAAAAAGTACAAAACAACAATAAAATGGGGGCAAAGAATAGGTCAATGGTTGTTTTTCATTTAAATAAAACTTTTATTCCTAGAGGATATATGTACCAAAAAATTGAGGGGAATGCAAAAAAGGAACCAAGATTGGAAGAAACTTTCATCAAATTGTCCATCCATATGGTAGGCGACAAAAGCCAAAATGAGGGAGCTTTGGTTTACCCATGCCCACCTGGCTATGAATTGTAGAATTAAAGTGTCATCCAAATGCCTGTTATTTCTTATTTTTTTCAGTGTAATCACATCTCCTAATTACTTATGCCTAAAAACATTAGGATGAACTCTTATGTTAGGGTTTTTTATTTTTCATTATTTCAATAAAAGTAGTAAAATGGATTTTGTCCATTTCTTCTATTCCACCCATTATCCTATCAAAGCATCTCGCTAATATTTTCTATTTCACTAATTTTCAGGTCCCCAAATAAATATGAAGGTAGACATGACAATGATCTGAGGTTTAATTTTAAAATTTTGATTAATACCGATGAACTCGATATTAAAAAAAACTATGAAGAATATTCTTTATCTTCAAATTTAATGAGATTAATTGAACAAGAGGACAAATCCATTAAGCCTCATCAAGAAGTTATTGAAATGGTCAATTTAAGGGATGTCAAGAACAAAAAAGAAGTCAAAGTTGGTACTTCACTTCCAGCAATTGATAGACAATGGTTAGAGTATCTGTTGTGAGAATTTGTAGATATGTTTGCTTGGTCCTACCAAGATATGGCCGGGCTTAGCAACGAAATAGTATAACATAGGCTACCACTTAAGCCAAAATGTAAGCCAGTGCAGCAAAAATTGAGAAAAAATGAAACTAAAGATATTGCTAAAAATTAAAGAGAAGGTAAAGAAATAATTTGATGTCGATTTTTTGCAAGTGGCCAAGTATTCTGAATGGGCAACTAATATAGTACCTATCCCCAAAAAGGATGAAAAAGTATGGATGTGTGTGGACTATCAAGATCTAAACAGAGCTATCCCGAAAGATAATTTTCTTTTATCTCATATTGATACTTTGGTGGACATTACAGCCTGACACTCGGTATTTTCTTCTATGGATGGATTCTTTAGTTATAATTAGATAAAAATGGCTTTAGATGATATGAAAAAGACTACTTTTATCATTATGTGAGGAACTTTTTTATTACAAGGTTATGCCTTTTAGATTAAAAAATACCAGGGTAACCTATCAAAGGGCTACGATAACACCCTTCCATGATATAATACGCAAAGAGATTGAGGTATATGCGGATGATATGATTACAAAACCTCAAAAAAAAAAAAGATCATGTAGCTAACCTTAGAAATTATTTGAAAGGTTAAAAAAGTTTTAGCTCAAGCTGAATCCAGCTAAATGTACATTCAAAGCTTGCTTAGGGAAATTGTTGAGATATATAGTTAGGGAAAGAGAGATAAAAGTTGATCCGGACAAAATTCAGGCTATTCAAAATTTTATCTCCTCTAGGCACATAAAAAAAAGTTCAAGGCTTTTTAGGCAGATTGAACTATATTTCTCAATTCATTTTTTAACTGACCCTTAAATGTGATCCCATCTTTAAACTCTTTTGAAAGAATGATCTCGGTGAATGGAATGAAGAATGCCAAAGGGCTTTTAACAAGGTCAAGCAATATTTAGCAAATCTTTCAATATTAGCACCACCCGTTTTAAAAAAGCCATTAATTCTATATATAGTGGTATATGAGAAGTCAATGGAATATGTGCTAGGGTAGCAAGATGAATTTGGCAGGAAAGAAAAAGCCATTTATTATTTAAGTAAGAAGTTTATGAAATATGAGTCTAAATATGAGTCACTCGAGAAGATGTGTTATGCTTTAGCTTAGACAGCTAAAAGACTTAGGTAGTACATGCTTTATCATACAACTTGACTTATAGCTAAACTGGATCCTATCAAATACATCTTTGAGAAGCCATCACTATAAAAAAAAATTACAAGATGGCAAGTGATGCTCTCGAAATACGACATAGTATATGTGAGCTAGAAGGCAATCCAAGGAATCATTATTGCCAAATTCTTCACGGATAGAGCTACTGAAGATTACGAATCTATGAAATTAGACTTTTCAGATGAAGAATTAATGGCCATCTCAGGAATAAAAGACAAGGATGAGGAAGAGACATGGAGAATGTATTTCGATGGGGCTACGAACGTCATGGGGCATGAGATTGAAGCATTATTAATATCTCTAACAGAATATTACTACCCCATGATAGCAAGATTAAATTTTAATTGCACTAATAATGTGACTGAATATGAAGCTTGTGCTATGAGACTGCATGCTGCGTTGGTTAGAAAAATTGAGACATTAAAGGTGTCCAGAGATTTAACCTTAGTTATATATCAACTAAAGAATGAATGGGAGACAAGGGATTCAAAACTCATCCCTTACCACAAATACATCTTAGAGTTGTGTAAGCAATTCGAAAGTATAAAATTTAAACATTTGCCTTGTGAAGATAATCAGATAGTAAATGCTTTGGCAACTTTAGCCGCAATGGTGCAACTTGGCAATATAGCTGAAATTCAACCTATCAAATTAGATGTGAGAGATATGCCAGTGCATTGTGCCAATTTGGAAGAGGAAAAAGATGGCAATCCTTGGTATATTGACATTATGTGATATCTAAGAGATTAGTAGTACCTAGATCAAGCAATAAAAAATAATAAAAGGATCCTAAGAAGATTGGCCATGAGATTTTTTTTAGATGAGGAAATTTTGTACAAAAGAGGCAAAGACCAAATATTATTACGCTGCGTTGGTGCTTCTGAGGCCAAAAAGATCGTTCATGAGGTGCATGATGGTGCATATGGAGTGTACGCTAATGGACACATAATAGCTAGATAGATCGTGCGAGCTGGATATTATTGGTTGACAATGAAAAAAGATTGCATTGATTATGCTTGAAAATGTCACAAGTGCCAGATTTATGTTGACAAATTCATGTTCTACCTGTTACTATACATGTTATGGCACCACCTTAGCCATTTTCTATGTGAGGGATAAATGTCATTGGTCCCATTACCCTAAAGGCTTCAAATAGGAATAGATTCATTGCTGTGATGATTAATTACTTTAATAAATGGGTTAAAGTTGCTTCTTTCACAACTGTAACTAGATCAGTGGTTTGCAGGTTCATAAAAAAAAAGATAATCTACAAATATGGGCTCCCAGAAAGAATTATCTCAAACAATACAAAGAACTTAAATAGTAAGATGATACAAAAAGTGTGTACTCAATTCAAGATCATACACCACAATTCAGTTCCATATCACTCAAAAATGAATGGGATAGTCGAAGCTATAAATAAAACCATCAAAAGGATTTTAGAAAATATGATCGATGCATATAAAGACTAACACGAAAAATTACCTTTTGCTCTATATGCTTATCGAACCTTTATACGTACCTCTATTGAGGAACTCTTTTTTCCTTGGTTCATGGATTGGAAGTTGTATTATCAATAAAAGTAAAAATCTTGTCTCTAAAAGTCTTAAGAGAAATAAGATTAGAAGAGGCTGAATGGGTTCGAGAGCACTATGAACAATTAAATTTCATTGAAGAAAAAAGATTAACGGCACTTTGTTACGGCTAATTGTACCAAAGAAGAATGATAAAAGCTCATGACAAAAAGGTCTGACATTATGAATTTTGAGAAAAAGAGTTGGTATTGAAAAGAATTTTTTCAAGTTAACATGATGATAAGGGAAAATGGATAAAAAGAGACTTTTTAGGAGGGGCCTTAATCTTGTCAAAAATGGATAAAGATGAGCTTTCTAATCCTATTAATTCTGACGCTGTAAAAAAGTACTTTCTTTAAGCTAAAAAAAAAAAGAGCTTAAGTTGAAAACCCGAAAAGGTAGCTTGAACTAAAAAAAATTCAAGTTGAAAACCCAAAAAGGCAGCTTCAATTGAAATATGGCAATTGGGATGAGTAAAATACGGCATCACTTGAAAGGTATACTAGAGATAGTGAATTTCAAAGAGCTTAAAGGTGTCAGGGCATTAAGTTTTGGTTAAATGTTTGAAGAAATCCAAGATTTGTTATCATGATTATCTGATTACTTATATTAGGGCATCATTGTTCTAAATTGCCACCCTTATACACTTTCATCTTGTTCTTAGCCACCATTGTAATTTATTGCTTATCCAAATAAATTATATTCATCCTATTTTCCACTTTCAATAATATTTTTTGCCTTTTTTTTTATACCTTGCCATGAATAGAAGAAGTGCATAACTTGCATCTCATATTTTGAAATTGAAATATGATTAATAATTAAACAAAATCATAAAAAATTATGTGTTACTTTGAGAAAATTGAAAAAGACAATGACAATTGGATAAACTTTCCCAGATAAGAGAAAATCACTTATTTCAAAGCTCTCCTACGGATAAAGATAAATATTGATTTAGGATAATGAAATATAGTTTCCTTGCCAAAGGTGTACAAAAATGAAAATGCAGATAAAAGCTGTGAAAGCCTTAGTACCACGACGGATGTTCCCTTTACATCCTAGATAAAGCATATACTTATATCATTACATGTTCATTCATCATAGGTTTTGATCTCAGCTTAGTTCAGATCATTTTTCAAACTCGTGGCTTCGTCCCGGTTATTCATTTATGATCTTGACTTAGTTTTAGTCACTTTCAGACTTGCAGCATTGTCTCGATATCCATTTGTGACCTTGACTTGGTCTTGGTCACTCTCAAACTCACAGCATCATCCCAATCATCCGATCTCAACTGAGATCAAATCATTTTCAAACTCACAGCATCATCCCGATCATTTATCTATGATCTTGACTAAGTCTTGGTCACTTTCAAACTCACGGCATCATTCTGGTCATTCGATCTTGGCTTAGGTCAGATCATCTTCAGACTCGCGATATCATTCCGGTTATTCATTATGACCTCGACTCGATCTTGGTCGCTTTCAAACTCGTGATTCAGTCCCTATCATTTTCACTTGATGATTTTACTTAAACTGAGTAGGTGTCTAGATCTTTGCCTCATCTCTGTCTAAGGCGATGTGCAAAGAAGGGAAACTGTAGATATTCATTTGTGTCCGGGACTTATCGAGATCAATTCTCTTTGTTATTAGTATTTTTGTTATTACTATAGTAGTATAATATATTATATTATTATTATTACTATCTATTGTACATTATTATATTATTATAGTATGATAGTATGATAGTATTATTATTATTATTATTATTATTTTATTTTTCCTTCCTTTCTTGTTTTGAATATGGCATGAATTTGGGGAAATTGAAGTCTGATCAAAAGGATTCGGTATGGTCAAAAGTTTTATTACATAATCAGGGGTTACTTATTCAACCCAAAAAATCAACTAAGAACCTAGACCTAAACTTAGGCTTAAGCATAATCAACTCCAAGGATTCAAGCCTGAATTGATTCTGTTCGTTTCCTAAAATTTGTCCTAAAAGGGCCTATAAATTGGACAAGATATCATAGAACAATATAAAGGGGATTTTTGGGGAGAAAACATTTGATTTTTTAGAAAGGTTGGGGTTTTAAAAATTTTTGGTAGTAAAGAATTTATGGAATTTTGATTTTTTTTTTGGGTTCGATTTGAAGTTTCTGAGTTTGGATTTAGATTTCTAGAGGTAGGATAACAGTTCTTGAGGGTTTTTAAAGAAATCTCGGTAAATCTAAGAAAATTTGAGAATTTTTTGGAAAAATCTAGGCTTGGATGAATTTTTTGATGAGTTTTTGAATTTTTCATTTGAATTTTCTGGCGAGGGTGAATTTTTCAATGGGATTTCAATAGCTTTTCCAAAAATTGATGGGTTTTCCAGTTTTCAATTGAATTTTTTGGTAACTTTTCCAAAAATCGAAGGATTTTTCAATTTTCAATTGAAGTTTTTGGTCGGTGTTCTTGGCTATCCTAGAGAGAAGGCAGAGAAAATAGGGTTTAAAAAGAGGGAAAGTAGGGCGCATCTGAGCAAAAAGTGCAAAGCATGGCTTTTATACTATCCTTACATGGCATCGTTTTGGGCAACTTACGTGAACCCGAGTAGGATTCACGTGCCAACTAGCTTCAATCCAACCCGAATCGTAAGGTTTTCTTTTTTTTTTCATTTTATTTTTTGATTTGATTTGATTTTATTTTATTTTATTTTATTTTATTTTATTTACCTTATTATTTAAAATTTTTTATTTTATTCTCTGTTTTTTTTTATTTTGTTGGTTTCTATTTATTTAGTAATTTAATATAAAAAAAGAGAAAAAAATCTTTATGGAATCCACCAAACTATTGAAAAATTTCATAAGTTAAACTTAAAAAAAAATTAAAAAAAACATAATTAGCAAAAAATAATTTTTTATCTTCTAAACTATTAGAGGATTGTTTTTCAAATTAAGTCCTGCCAAACTATTGGGAGATTTAATAAAATTCTTAAAATTTTTTACAAATCTTATTACAATAAAATCTCATCAAACTATTGAAAGATTTGCTTCAAAGTAAGTCTTACCAAACTATTGGGAGACTTTACTAATTTTTTTTGAATAAAATACTATAATAAATCTAATGACGAAGCTTCTTCAAAGTGAGATACTAGTCTTTATGAATACTTTTAAGGTGAGAGCATTATCTTAGATTACTACCAAACTATTGGGACAATTTTAAGACAAATTTTCAATATTAAATAATTTAGTAAATTGTAAATATGATCAAGGCTTGGATAATTTGAGATCAAATTGGTATCATATTTTGATGGGCGTTGTGATGGTGCTATAACTTTCCTCACACATAATCATATTTTCGAACCTAAACTTTGATTTTGTAGATCAGAATTTACTATTTAAAGATACCTAAGTAAATCTTAGAATTCCTCTTTAAATAGGACAGATTCAATCAGGTGGCCAATCACACCTAAACAAAAAAGAATTGTGGTGACTTCTCTAATCAATGTCTAACGGTAGGTTCACGAATTTATACATTATAACAATTCCCTTCATCTTTAATTTTTTATTTTTATTGCTTTTGTGGTTGAATTAGTTAATTAATTTTAAAAGAATTTTTAAAGTGAAATTAAAATTATAAGTAATTCAATATACTTGTTTTTTATTTAAATTTATGACAATTTAAATCCATCTTTTTAAATAAAAAGAAGTATATATCAATTATTAAATCAAATGAGCTCAGATATATAAGTGAATAATTGAATATGCTATGAATAGAAGTAAATGATAAAACTTGACTTAACCCAATTGGTCGCTGATCCTAAGTTTAATATCTAACTTAAAATTATAAGAAGCCAAAATTAAAAATAATCGAAATACCAAATACAAAATTAAATAAAAATTTATCAAATAAATTTTGATAATGAATGCCTTTAAATCACTTTTAAATTTAGTTAAATTATAATTTCTAATAATTTTTTATTTTAGATATAAAGTGATAATTAATTTGGTAAATTTCAATTCTTTTGAACAAATATTATCTAACATGATAACCTCAAAATTTTTTATATAATAGTTAATATTCTTCAACTAATATAAAATAGATAATTAGTATATAATGTTTCATCAAATAAAAAAGTTTCATATTAATCATAAAAAAAATTTTAAATCAATGTATTTGTATATTT